TGCGGCATGTGCGGGCATGTGCGTCTATGCTTTCAGAGTTTTGCTTGACCGTGCATTCGACTGTGCGTCGGACGGTGTGGCATGTGCGCGCATGTGCGGCAATGCTGTTGAGGCTTTTGTATATTTGCATGGGCATGTGCATGCGACTGTGCGGCATGTGCCTGCATGTGCGGCCCCTTCCGGACCACAATTTCAAAGTGAGCACTATAGAAGTGAGCGCTATAGAAGTGAGTCCGGTGTATTTCCTCACAACTTACCCCGAGACGCCCTGGCCAGAGGGGACACCGAACTCAAGAAGGGCGCTCTCGCTTCAGATTTCCTCGCAATTCAGGGAAGTTGGCGGATTCCCAGCCACGACGACAATGGCTCCTGCTCGATTTGCCCTCACGATTTACTCCGACAGCCCCTGGTCAAGGAGGCTCCCGAACTCGAGACCTCGAACTCAGGAACGGCACTCTCGTTCGAGACTTTCTCGTAATCTTACTGGCCTGCGGCCCGTCCCGCCACCCTGCCTTGGTTTTGGATATGAGGACTGGGGGCTTCCTGGGACTTCCTGACGTCATTTCGGGTGCGTTGGAGCCTACTGGGGGCATCTTGGGGCAGAGAGCTCGAACTGTCCATGTGGGTGCCCCGTTTGGGATCTATGTCGGAACTATATTGGGGGCCGCTTGGGCTGGCTTGGAGTCTTTTTGGACTGTTTTTGGAGTCCTCCTGGGCAGTTTTGTAGCTCTTTTGGAAACTTTGGGTCGTGTCGGGACGGTGTTGGGGGCCTCTTGAGCTGTCTTGGCGCGTCGGGAAGCTACGAAGGCGGGAGTTCGAAAATTCTTCAAACAATGTAGAACATCAATACCATTGTTTTTGTGGGCCCTCTGGGGAGGCTTCTTGGAAGCCTTCTAGGCTCTCTTAGGGGACATATTCGGCCTTTTTGAAGCCACCTTGGGACGTCTTGGAGCGCTTTCGGGCAGCTGCGAGGCATGCCACCCCTATTTGGCGTCTCCTTCGTGCGCTCCTGGAACGCTTCGGGGTTCCCAGGGCCGCGCCCATATTGTCTCACCGCAGTTGATAGCCAGAGCCATGGTTGTCAATCTGGTGCCGCTGAGCAGGAATATTTTCCTGAGGTGGGCGTGGCGGGTTTGAAGCCAGCCGGGCCCTTCAGAGGCCGTCTTTGGGGCTTATCGCGGCCGCCTTGGGGCGTTCTTGCGGTCCTCTTGGGCCGTTTTGGGGGCCTCCTGGACCGTGTTGGGAGCCGTCTTTGGTTGGTCCGGGGCCGTCTTGGACCTCTTTTGAGGGGACCATGGGCTTTCCTGGGGCAATTTTGGCCGCTGCGTTGGCCGTCATCGGCTTTTGAGATTCGAGGCAGGCGAGAACACTAAAAGCCGTCAAAAACCAATGGAAAATCAATGAGTTTGGTCTCTGGAGGCGCTGTTGTGGGTGCTCTTGGGGCCCTCTTTGGCCGTCTGGAGGGCCTCATGAGCCCTGGATGGGCCATCTTAGGCCTTTTTCGGGCTGTCTTGGCTGGTCCCGAGGCCATCCTACGCAGTGGGACCGCAAAAAGAAGAGAAGGATATTCTAACAGCAATAGCTTCTAGTGTCTATTCGCTTTTGCGAGACCGCGGCTCCAGCGTCCTCTTTCCTCCCCTCGTCCCTGCTTCCTCTTCCCTCCTGCTCCCCTGCCTCACTGTCGGGCGCCTCGTCCTGTTGCCTCGCAGTCGCGATGCGCTCTGTGGTTTCTGCATCGCAGTCGTGATGCGCTCACTTTGCCACCGCGCGTCATCGCAGCTGGGAGCATCAAGCATGGGTCCAACAGGGGCCCCGGCGCTTCTGCCCATGGCCGTCGCGCCCTACAGTTGCACGGGTTCTGACCTGCCATTTTGAGTTGCCAGTGCGCCGTTTGGGCGCCACGCCTGATGGATTCCAAGCGTGAAACGGTTGCAAATTCATGAGACGAATGCGCGCGGTGTCAAGGCGAGAACCACATTTTGAACACGGGGCGCCCTCCATCCGTGTTTTTTTTGCAAGCTTTTGGAACGGATGTGCGCGGCGCTAAAGCGAGAGCCACATAGTGAAATCGGGCCGCTTTCCATCCGTGGAGCCTCTGCAAATTTTTGCAACGGATGTGCGCGGCGGGTGATAACCACATTTTGAAAATGAGCCGCCCTATCTCTACCCGTGAAGCTCTTGCATCTCAAACAAAAAATCTGCGTGGCGGAGAGCCGCATTTTGAAGACGGGGCGCCCTCCATCCGTGAAATTTTGAAACTTCTGCAGGTCTTCAAGACGAGTGTGCGCAGCGCTGAGGCGAGTGCCACATTGCGGAAAACTTGCCGCCTTCCATCCGTGAAGCCCGTGAAGCATGTAAGCTTCAGGATTATAAAGCGTGAGGAATTCTCAGTCGCGAAGCGCTCGGCCCGCCCTTTCGACCAGCTTCGGGGCTCGGCAGGGAGGAGTTATCAGTAAGGAGGAGGACGGGTGGAAGAGGAGGAGGAGGAGGAGGAGGAGGAGGAGGAGGAGGAAAGGAGGGGGGAGGCGGGAGGAGGCAGGAGGAGTGCCCCCCCCCCCCCGCCTCCATTTTCCTGGCGGGCAGATGCCGCTCCTCCCCGCCGCGGCCGTGGACAGCGACGCCGGCGGCTTCTCCGAGGCGCCGCCGCCGCCCCCCCCCCCGGGCGGCCCCTCCTGGAGCCCCCCCTTCTATAGCGCCAGACATAGGGCGGGGCCCAGATCTCCAACGACTTTGTCGCAGGTTTTCGGGGGCTCTCCGCATGTTCTTCCTGCTCCGGGATGCTTCTCGGCGCCGAGGGCGCTCCCGGGGATGCCGAACGGCCGCCGGGGGGGCCGAGACACGGCCTGAAAACCTACGAGGCGTTCTCTTCGGTCCGGGCGTTTTATCTCGATCTCGGCGGTCCCTTCGGGCGGCCCCTTCGGGCGGCTCCTCGGGCGGCCTGGCTAGTATCGAGGGCTGCAATCCCAGAGATGCCCGTGTCGTGGCAGGCTTTCTCCGTTCTCGGCTTCTGAGGGGTCGTCGCCAGATCCCCAGACCGTCAACAAAAACGATTCAGGATGAAGAGCCGGTCCTGGGGAACTGGTCCAGATCTCCTGGGGACCATGTTGCGAATGTGTGTGTATCAACATGTAATGTACAAGTATGTGTAAACATGAATATATAACTCGCATTAATGTATGTACATATGTATGTATGTATGTATGTATGTATGTATGTATGTATGTATGTATGTAGGTATATATGTATGTATATGCACACGCGCTATGTATACGTGTATAGTTGATTCGATATATGTCTAGGTCTATGTGTATGTATATACACATGCATATAGTTATGTTTCTGTGTTTGTGTCTGTGCATGTGCATGTGTATGCGTATGTGCATCTGCATGCGCATGTGTATGTGTATGTCTGTGTATGTGTCTGTGTATGCGAATGTGCATGTGTATGGAACGATGCATGCATGTATGTATGTATGCATGTATGTATGTATGTATGCATGCATGTATGTATGTATGTATGCCTGTATGCATGCATTTATGTATGTATGTATGTCTGTCTGTCTGTCTGTCTGTCTGTCTGTCTGTCTGTATGTATGTATGTATGTATGTATGTATGTATGTGTGTGTATGTATGCATGTATGTATGTATGTATGTATGTATGTATGTAGGTATGTATGTATTTCGGTATGCATGTATGCATGCATGCATGCATGTATGTATGTATGTATGTGTATGTCTGCACGTAGGTGTGTATGTGTCTCTGTATATGTATGTGTGTATGTATACATGTGGGTATGCATGCATGCACGCATGTAAGTAGGTATGCATGCATGTATGTCTGTATGCATGCATTCATTCATGTATGCATGTATATATGTATGTCTGTATGCACGCGTACACATAGATATGAATGCATGTATGTGTGTACGTGTGTAGATATAGGTGTTGGTGTTCGTTATGCACACGCTCACACATGTCTGTATGTATGTACGTATGTATGTATGCGTGCGTGCATGCATGCATGCATGCATGTCTGTCTGTCTGTCTGTCTGTCTGTCGGTCGGTCTGTCTGTATGTATGTATGTATGTAGGTATGTATGTATGTATGTATGTATGTATGTGTGTGTGTGTATGTATGTATGTATGTATGTATGCATGCATGCATGCATGCATGCATGTATGTATGTATGTATGTATGTGTGTACGAACATACATGTGTATATGATACACATTTATACACATACGTATAACAACACACGTGTTTTTGCTATGCCGGACCGCTTTACAGCATCTTCGAGCTTCTCAAGGGGCTTCTTTCTGGGCCTCCTGGTGTGTGCCAGGGCCTCTCGCCCCCTCAGGGTTTCGACGTTTTTTTAATTTTGTTGTGCGTTTTTTTGAGAACTCTTGCTGCAGGTCGGAGTCGGCTTGCGCGGGTTCCGTTTTCCAGATGCCCGTGCGGCAAAGGCCAGGAATGTCCAGGGGCGCTCACGGATCCAGGCAAATCGGTGGTTCAGGATTTTCAAGAATTTTGCAAGCCGTTTAAGCTTTGAGTTTGTACGCCAGGACGGTGACAAAGTAATCAAGATCAGTGGCATATTCCATCTCCCACCATCCTCATTATCCCGTCTGTGGCGTGGCTCATGCATGGTGGAAGCGACGGGACGCCCCAACCCAAAGCGAGGATTCCACCTTGTTCTTTCCTTCTCGGAGTAGCTATGGCAATCCTGAAGCAGAGTATTAGCACTGGACAGGGGCATCTGGGACATCGAATTTTCTCGTCTCTCCGCTGCCCCGTCGCCCTCATGCCTCCTCCCTTGCAGGTTCGTTTCCGTTTGGGCTCAAGAACTCCGGACGTACATTTCACCCATCTTTTGGACTCATATTGTTTATTGGTTGATTTTGGGCCACTTGTTTCTAAGATGGCGTGGTGTATCTTGCTCGCCAGCCTGATCGGTCCTCAGGCGCCGCTGACGTTGCCTCTGCGGGCGATTTTCAGCTGATGCAGATTTCGAATATTGCTCAGACAATGTCGAGGGACGAGGGGGGGGAGTTCTATAATCATGCCAACGTGCGCGTCTACCCGTCGGCGGCCGATCCTGATCAACGTGACTGGGCGCCGATTCGCAAATGGATTTTTTGCGATGAAAAGCACTGTTACGAATCAGGTTTTGCAATTCTTCATCGAGTAGCCGGAGTTCCAGGGCACTGTGAGGCATACCCGACCAGATTTGGGCGCGCTGGCATTCGTGTTTGGGGATTTGACAGAAGACGGCCTTCAGGCAGCGCTGGACAGGAAATCTGAGATCGTGAGGTATGCCGAAGAGGACCAGCTTCAAACTTATATCTTTGATGACAAAGCTGACGAGCAGGTCGGGGTATACGACGAAGACATCGTGATGGGAGGTGCGGCGTCTGCGTCCGCGACATGCAGTTATCCGTGGGTTATCACCGCAATCAATGCCGACTTGGGCCGCCCCCGGGGCAGTGGGGTGAGCTGATTTTTTCTCGACACCGGCGTTCGCACAACCCACGCAGATTTCGAAGGCTGGGCTTTCCGTTATTTGGACTTAACCAACCCTGAAAACACATTGGTTGTATGTGATGGGACCGACACAGAATGTGCCAATGACCTCCACGGGCGCGGCACCCATGTCGCGGGTACTTCCATAGGCCGCTGTTTTGGTGTCGCGAGCGCCGCAACCCTATGCGCCGCAACCCTATGCGAGGAAGAAAGGACGGAAGGAAGGAAGGAGGGAAGGGAGGGGAGGAAGGTAGGAAGGGAGGAACAGAGGAAGGGAGGAAGGGAGGAAGGGAGGAAAGTCGAGAGGGGGGAAGGGAGGAAGGGAGGGGGAGGAAGGAAGGGACGGGAGGAAGTGAGGAAGGGGGGGGGGGATGGGGGGCAGCAGGAAGGGATGGGGCGGATGAGAGGAGGAGGGAGGGAGAGAGGGAGCGAGGAAGGGAGGAAGGGAGTGAGAGAGGAGGGGGGGGGGGCGGAGGGAGGAAGGAATGGATGGATGGAGGGAAGGAAGGAAGGGAGGGAGGGAGAAGGGAGGAAGGGAGGAAGGGATGGATGAGGGAGGAAGGGAGGAAGGGAGGAAGGGAGGAAGACAGGAAGGGAGGAAGGGAGGAAGGGAGGGAGGGAATACTGGAGGAAGGGAGGAAAGGGGGGGGGGATAGAGAGAGGGCGGGAGGAAGGGAGGAGGGAGGACGGGAGGAAGGGGGGGATGGAGGAAGGGAAGGAGGGGGGAAGGGGGGGCGGGGGGAAGGGAGGAAGCGAAGGAGGAAGGGAGGGAGGGAGGGGGGGAAGGAAGGAGGGAATGACGGGAAGGAGCAAGGTAGGGAGGGAGGGAGGGATGGAGGAACGGAGGAACAGAGGAAGGGAGGACGTGATGAAGGGGGAGGGGAGGAAGAAAGGACGGAAGGAAGGAAGGAGGGGAGGGAGGGAAGGAACGGGAAGGACGGGGGAATGGAGGGGAGGAACAGAGGAAGGGGGAATGTAGGAGGGAGGACGGGAGAGGAATGGAGGAAGGGAGGAACGGAGGAAGGGAGGAAGGGAGGAGGGAGGAAAGGGGGGGATAGAGAGATGGCGGGAGGAAGGGAGGAGGGGAGGACGGGAGGAAGGGGGGTATGGAGGAATGGAAGGAGGGGGGAAGGAAGGGGGGCGGGGGGAAGGGAGGAAACGAGGGAGGAAGGGAGGGAGGGAGGGGGGGAAGGAAGGAGGGAATGACGGGAAGGAGGAAGGTAGGGAGGGAGAGAGGGATGGAGGAACGGAGGAACGGAGGAAGGGAGGACGGGATGAAGGGGGAGGGGAGGAAGAAAGGACGGAAGGAAGGAAGGAGGGGAGGGAGGGAAGGAAGGTAGGAAGGGAGGAACGGGGGAATGGAGGAAGGGAGAGGAGGGAGGGTGGGAGGACGGGAGGGAATGGAGGAAGGGAGGAACGGAGGAAGGGGAAGGGAGGAGGGAAGGAGGGAGGAGGAGGGGGGGAAGGGAGGGAGGGAGGAAGGGAGGCAGGGAGGGATGGAGGGAGGAAGGGAAGAAGGGAGGAATGGAGGGAGGGATGCAGGGAGGGGGGTAGGGAGGGAGGACGGGAGGACGGGAGGAAGGGAGGGAGGTCGTGACGGAAGAAAGGAAGGACGGGAGGGAGGGAGGGAGGGTCGGAGGAAGGAAGGAAGGGAGGGGGGGAGGAAGGAAGGACGGAAGGATGGGAGGAGGTAAAACAGGGAAGGAAGGAATGACGGAATTGAGGTGGGAAGGGAGGAACGGAGGAAGGCAGGGAGGAAAGGAGGAAGGGAGTGAGAGAGGAAGGGGGAAGGGGGGGGGAGGAAGGGAGCATGGGACGAAGTGGTGAAGGAAGGAAGGGAGGGGGGGAGGGAGGACGGGAGGAGGGGAGTAGCGGAGGGGGGCAGGAAGGGAGGAAGGGAGGGAGGGAGGAAGGGAGGAGGGAAGGGAGGGAAGGAAGGAAGGAAGGAAGGGATGTAGGAGGGGAGGAGCGGAGGGAGGGATGAAGGGAGGAAGGGGGAAGGGAGGAAGGGGGGAAGGGAGGGAGGGAGGAAGGGAGGAACTGAGGGAGGGAGGGAGGGGGGAAGGGATGGAGGGAGGGAGGGAGGACGGGAGGAAATGAGGAAGGGAGGGAGGGAGGAAGGGATTAAGGAAGGGAGAGAGGACGGGAGGAAGGGAGGGGGGGAGGAAGGGAGGGAGGGAGGGAAGGGGGGAAGAAGTGCGAGGTTGGCGCGTCGCGCAACAACCACCACAACGGTTGCCGCGACTGGCGCTCTGCGAAGCACAAGGAGCTCACTGGCTTCGCGGCGCCCACGGAGCAGGCCGTCCCAGCCTGGGACCGCCGCCACCCCCGCATGGGTGAGCTCCAACAGGCAGTGCTCGACCTGTCCACGAGTGACCAGCCACCAGCCGCCAGATTTTTATCGACTGGAGCATCACCTGCGTGCACTCAACCCACGCTCCACGCAGGGGTGCCCGGACCGAGAGAGACGGGTTGGCGGCCGCCCAGGCGGTGGAACAGAAGCGAGAGCGCCACCCTCCGCACGGAGGAGAACTGTTCCCGCTAGTCTTCGAGACGGGGGGGCGGCCCAGCGACGAAGCAGCCAGCTGTGTCCGCAGCTACGGAGCCGTCTTGAACGACGCCGACCGCTCCGAGCTGCTGGGCGGCCTCTGGCGGCAAATCAGCAGAACCCTCCAAAGGGGCAGTGCTGAGATGCTGCCGAGCGCGCTCGGGCGCTAAGCCACCGCCACGACGACCAGCGCCAGCGCAACAGCCGTCGCGGCAACACGGGGACCGCCACCAGCACGACGACCACCACGGCCACCACCATTGCGACCACGACAGCGCGGCGACACCGGGACCACCACCAGCACGACGACCACCACGGCCACCACCATTGCGACCACGACAAGAACCGCGCGACGACGACCGCCCCGACCCCCCCCCCCCCGGGGCACCCACCCCTGCCCCCGCGACGTCGACGTCTTCGCCCCCCACGACTTCTACGGCCACCCTAACCGCCCCCCGTTCCCCCGCCGCTTCTCCCTCTTCCCCTCCTCCCCCCTCGCCTGGCCGCCCTTGCTGCTGCGCTCCCCCTTCTCCTCCTCCGCCTCCTATCTGGCGCCGTTGAATTCAGGCGGCTCGCGGGGCAACGGCCCAGCGGGCGGACGAGGCCCTTCCGGCTGCCCTGGGGGTCCCCTGCGAGGGTGCCAGTCCGTCTTGGAGGGATGACCCCCCAGGGCGGAGGCGACCCGGAGGGGGGAAGGAAGGGGGGGGGGGAAAAAGGAGCAGAGCAGAGCAGAGCGGCCCGGTGGGAGGCGGAGTGTCCGCCTGCCCCAGCAAGGCGCCGGGCCGACATTATCGGCGATATGTGAAAAAAAAAACGTGTGAACGTGTGAAACAACAGTGCGAGATGAGACATATACCGCTGCGCGGCGTGAGAAAGGTACAAGGAATTAGCGCAAGTGCACATATGTCCAGTTTTTCCGCGGGTGGCCTACGCATCTCCTTGCGTTCAATCGAAACCAAGGCATCCAATTAACAACTCTCGCGCTCCATCTGCGGTCGGTGGGCGAGGACTGCTTGCTTGCTAATGTCCATTTCTCTTTCCAGAACATCGACGCCAAGTCTTCCACGCCGCTGCGTTCAGAAAACTGCATACTGGCGCTCGTGGCACGCCGGATCTACTCAGCCCGGTCATCGTCATGTAGCTGGCGAATGCCCACCATCAGTCTCAGCATCCGGCGCTGCGTGGATTGAAGCTTTCGCTCCTCGGCCGCTGTGAGCGTCCAGGTGCTGGAGGCGTACAGATCGCAGGGCGTCACGCATGCTTTGAACAATCTCAGCCGCCGGTGGATCTGGGGGCGCTTGTTGCGCAATAAATCCTTCAAGACGTGGAACGCCGCCCATCCCGAAGCGAGACGGTTGCCAAATTCTGCTCCGTGGACGTCATCCACAGAAATTTTCTTGCCAATGTACTTCTCTGAGTCGCCGTGCCGGAGCACTCTCACATTGTGCGCGCCGCACTTTGCACGTGGCGGTCGGTCAGATGCGTTGGTCAATACCACTGTCCTGCCCATATGGACCTTCAGGCTGCTCTTTTGGCCTCCGATTCCAAATCTGCGATCATTCTGGAGACGTCCCTTTCGCATCCAGATGACACGAGCGCGTCGTCGGTGAAACGAAGGTTCGTGAGGGGATCGCCGGGGTCGTCCACCATTAACTAACCCATATTACATTCCAGTGCGCTTGCTATTCAGCTTGTTCCAGCGTGCTTTCAGCTTGCGGAATGTTTCTTCCATGACCACGACAACAAAAAACAACTTATCGGATCCCCCTGTTTCACGCCCCGCGAGATATCGAAGGGTCTACTTCCTTTGCCAGCGATTACAGTGGCTGAAACCCTTCCTGCATGCGGCTTGGTCAACTGACTGCTCACCAATGATCGTCCCGCGGAGGTGGCCACATAGGAGCCGACTGCACAGCTTGTACAATATCGCGCAACTCGCGATTGGCCGGTAGTTGCCAGGCAAGAAGGCGCCCCCCTTCTTGTGCAGCACAGTGATGCGGGTAGCCAGCCACCCGTCCGGAAGTTGCTCGCCAGGAGCAAGGATCGCGTTGAACGCCTCCAACATTCGACTCTTCAGCGTTGGGCAGTCGACTTTCAAGAGATCTGCTTTGACTCCGTGGTCGTCGCCTGCTTTGCCTTTTTTTATCAGCCGGATAGCAGCGTCCAGCTCCTCTGTCGTGAAAGGAGGCACGCTCTCTGCCCCTCCGGGCGCGTGCACTTCTGGCCTGTCTTGGCCCGTGGTGGTCGCGTGCAGGTCCTCATAACATTGCGCAAACACTTCTGCAATCGAGGTCTGGTCATTGTGGAGGTACCCGTCCTTGTCCTTCATTTCGGTGATGTGGCACTTCGACCGTACCTGCCATGTCTTCCAAATGTCGAATACCACGGAACTCCCCAAATATTTTCTCCGCTTTGCCAAGTTTGTCGTTGACCTGGCGAGCTCGGATCGCCTTTGTGGATTTCTTTGCTCCGTTGCGTCCTGAAGTGTTTCTTGTCTGCTGCAGGGAGGTCTGCTGTCTGAAGACTCCTGGGCAAAGCTATCATCATGCGCAACATTTCGTCCGATTCGATAGCTAGGTCTGTCTCTGGATTGTCGCCTTCGCTCGCCTGGCCGCCCCGAACTGCGTCCGTCTTGCACTTGTTCAATAGATTGATCTTGCCGGCGGCGGTCATGTCGCACCACTTGACAGATTGCAGGCGCGCCTCCAGAGATGAAACATACGATGCCCCAGGTTGCCACGCTGGGTCTTTCTTACGTTTTCGCTGGCGTCGGCGAGCAGAGGGTATGTTAGCTGCAAGCAGACTGGTCTGTGATCAGATCCCACGTCTATGCTAGGTGATACCGTGCAGAGCGAAAGGAGTGATTGTATTGTGTGGTCTGACAGAAAACAATCCAGCTGCGCTCTTCGATCCCCATTTCTGTATGTCCACGCCTCTTCAAAGGACTGCTGGTATAATGGGTTAGCTATCAGCATGCCCCGCAAGCAGCACCACTGGATCAGGAGGTCGCCTCCTGTCACTGCGCGTCGGCATGGGGTTTTCTCCAACAACGCTTCTGTCATCGTGCTCGCCTCGCGGCCCCACCTCGGCACTCAAGACCCGTGCAGCTATGTCGGCCATCTTTTTTCGACAAGCTTCTCTATACTGAGCGTCAATTTGGGCGTACGCGGCCTCGACATCCTCCTCCTCCTGCTTTGCGTGAAGCATGTAGACAGCAATGATTCTGACGACGCCTATGACAGGAAGGCTCAAGGGAGGGAAGCAAAGTAGGAAGGGAGGGAGGAAGGTAGGAAGGTAGGGAGAGGGGTGAGGAACGGAGGAACGGAGGAAGGCAGGAAGGGGGGGGGGGAAGGATGGAGGGAGGAAGGGATGAAGGAAGGAAGGGAGGAGGGAAGGGAGGGAAGGAAGGAAGAAAGAACGGGAGGGAGGGAGGGAGGGAGGGCGGGAGGAAGGGAGGAAGGGAGGGAGGGGGGGAGGAACGGAAGAAAAAACGGGAGGGAGGGAAAGAGGAAGGGAGGGAGGGAGGAAGGGGGAGGAAGGCCGAGGGAGGAAGGGGGGGAGGGAGGAAGGGAAGGAGGGAGGAAGGAGGGAGGGAGGGAGGAGGGGGGAGGGAGGTGGGAGGATGGGAGGAAGAGAGGAAGGGAGGAAGGAGGAAGGAAGGGATGGAGGGATGAAGGAAGGAAGGGAGGAAGGGATGGAGGGAGGAAGGGAGGGAGGGAAGGAAGAAAGTCAGGGACGGAGGGATGAAGAGATAGGAAGGGAGGGGGAAGGGAGGAACGGAGGATCGGAGGCACGGAGGAAGGGAGGGAAGGAGGAAGGGGGGAGGGAGGAAGGGAGGAAGGAGGAGGGAAGGGAGGGAAGGAAGGAAGCAAGGAAGGAAGGAAGGGAGGGAGGAAGGGAGGAAGGGGAAGGGAGGAAGGGGAAGGGATGGATGCGAGGAAGGGAGGGCGGAGGAAGGGAGGACGGGAGGAAGGGAGGAAGGAAGGAAGGGAGGAAGGAAGGGAGGGATGGAGGGAGGAAGGGAGGGAGGGAGGAAGGGAGGGAGTGAGGGAGGGAGGGAGGGAGGGTGGGAGGGAGGGAGGAATGAAGGGAGGGAGGGAGGAAGGGAAGGAGGGATGGAAAGAAAGTAGGAAGGGAGGGAGGAACGGAGGCACGGAGGAAGGGAGGAAGGGAGGGCGGGAAGGGAGGGATGGAGGGAGGAAGTCAGGAACGGAGGAGGGAAGGGAGGGAAGGGAGGGAAGGAAGGAAGGAAGAGGGGAAGGGAGGAGGAGGAGGAGGAGGAGGAGGAGGAGGAGGGTACCCTGTCCCTCGTGCTGCTGCCCCCCCCCACCCCCCCTGCACGCGCCCCTCTCCGCCCCTCCGGTCGGAGAGCTGCGTGCCCCCGCGCCCTGCGCGGAGGTGGGCTGGCCGATGTCTGGCGGCGCGGCGAGGCGAGCGGGGGGGAAGTTGCGGGCTCGAGGTTCGAGGTTATCGGACGTTTTCGCCGGTTCTCGGCGCTTTTCTAACCTCGGGATGCTTGCCAGCAGCTGCGCCTCGCCGAGGGCGTTCGGGGAGTGCCCAGATCGTCCCGCAAGGCCGCCGGAGATCCGAGTTGTGACCCAAAAGCCACATTCAGCGGCGCGCCCGGGGTGGACGGAGGGCGAGCATCGACGGGGAGCGAGGGGGGGGGAGGGAAGTGAAAAGGGGGGGAGGGGGGCGAGGGGGGGGGGCCGTGGGAGGGAAGTGAGAAGGAGGCGAGCTGGAGGGGGGGCGAGGGTGGGGGAGGGATTCGAAGAGTAACGAACGCCATAAACATAAACTTTTGGCGCTCCGCGCGGATTTCTTGGATCCGCGCTGTGGCCCGCCCCCGGCGGCGCGTCCTGCGCCACCCCTGGCGCGCTCTGCGCGCCAGGGAGGGGTTCCAGCGCAGATCCAAGAAATCCGCGCGGAGCGCGACAAGTTTATGTTTATGCCGTTCTTTCCTTTTCGAGGGGTGGATGGAGGGCGAGGATCGGCGGCGAGCGAAGGGGGAAGTGAGAATGAAAAGGTTTGTCGGAAGGCGGCGGTCTGAAGCCCTGGCGTCTTCTGATGAGTTTTCCGTGTGTTCGGGTGAAGCTCAGGCCCCCCGATCACGTCACGCTGTTTTTGCCACATGTCTTAAGGAATCTTCCAAGGTTTTCAGAGAATCTCAAGGGTTTCCCAGGAATTTGTCGTCGTCGCTGTTGTCCGTGACCGGGAGGTGGAGGAGGAGGAGGAGGAGGGGGAGGAGGAGGAGGAGGAGGAAGCCAGATGGTTTCGAGGGCCCGTTCGAAGGATTCGTTTAGGGGATGTCTCGAGCGAAACGCTGATTCTTAAGCGAAGCGCTTGGGCCATCTTGGAGGTCATCCGGGATCGCTCCGAAAAGATTCCTTACAAGCGCGTTTGGCGCATCCCTTCTTTTCGAGGATTTCTCAGGCGAAACGCCAATGTTTAGCGAACTACGTCTCAACATACGACCCCAATTTCACGATTTGGCGAGGACGTCTCAGGCGAAACGCTCGTTTTTGAAACCTTTCTTGACATGAACGGGAAGCGCGTGAAAGGGAAGAGTTGGGCAACAACTTGCAGCATCATTGCTCTCAAAAGTCTTCCAGGCGAGCTCTCCGAACGCTCACAAGGGATACGTATGGACACGCGCCTCCCGAACGTTCACAAGCATATTCTTGAGTATCCTCCCCACTCCTCGACATCAGGAGGACGACGGCGAAGACGATGACCGTGGAAGAAGGGAGAGGGGAGGAGGATCAGGAGGAGGAGGAGGCGGAGGAGGAGGAGGAGGAGGACGAAAAGCAGCAGCAGCAGCCTCAACAGCAGCAGCAACAGCAGCAGCAGCAGCAGGAGCAGCAGATTCCCAAGATGTTCCCAGGAATCCCTCCTCACTCCCCTCTTCCTCTTCTGCTCCCCCTCCCTTCTCTTTATCTTCCTCCTCCCGAGGGCCCTGGGGTTCGAAAAAGGCCCCGGGAGGCCGAAACCCGCCGTGATGTGATCGGGGCTCCCCCCCCCCCGATCACGCCCGTTATCGCGGATAATTAAAAACGGGCTCCATGGGTACGGGTGCGGGTTGTCGGACCCTGGGGGATGCTCCCGTTCGAGCGGGGACCTCCATCCGACAACACGCACCCACAGCCCCCTCCGCCCCCCCATGTGTGTATGTGTGTGTGTGTGTGTGTGTGTGTGTGTGTGTGTACGACGCCACGTTCCTTTGCAGCTTCCTCCACCTGCTGGTCTCGTCGCCGCCCTGATTCCTCCTCCCCGCCCACGGCGGCGCCGCTCGCCGCCGCCGTCCCCGCCGCTCTCTTTCCGCCTGCCGGCCTGCTCCCCTCGCCCAAGCGGGCCTGCCGCAACCGGCTCGGCCCCACCTTCCTTCGCCGCTTCCTCCGCCTGCTGGCCTCGTCGCCGCCCTGGCTCTCCCCCCCTGTCCACGGCGGCGCCGCGCACTGCCGCCGCCCTCCCTGCTCTCGCCGCCCGCCCTCTCGCCCCGGAGTCCCTCGCCCAAGTCTCGGGCCTGCCGTCTCTCCCGCCCTCTCGCCACGGCGGGCACGCCCCCCACGCAGGCGCCGGCGGCGACCCGCCGCCGCGCTTCCGTTGCCGACGCCGACGCCGACGCCGACGCCGACGGCTCCGACGACTGGAGCCCGACGTCATCAGCTACAGCTGGAGTCCAATGTCGTCAGCTGCGGCGCTGGGATCAGCGCGTGCGAGGAGGGCGAGCAGCGGCAGCGGGCCCGGCGCTGCTGTCCAAAGCGCGGGGGGCGAAGCCGGAGCCCAAGGCTGTCAGCTTCAGCGCTGGCACCAGTGCGTGCGAGGAGGGCGAGCAATGGCAGAGGGCAGCCCGCTCAGCGTGACGTGGGAGGCGAAGCTCGAGCCCAACAGCACCACCTGCAGCGTTGAGACCAGCGCGTGCGTGGCAGGCGGACAGTGGCAGCGGGTTCTGGCGCTGCCCGGCGTGGTGTGGGAGGCGGACGTGGAGCCCGACGTCATCTATATTCTAATGCCAGGGGCCGAGCGTGCCAGAACGCCGCAGGATCAGCTGGGGCAAAATCGCCCCAGGCTGGCCCCGGGCCGCCCCAGGCCGCCCAGAGAGGCTCGAAGACACGCCAAGAGGGCCCCAAGAGGCCCAAGTCGGCCCGAGAGGTCTTCAAGGTGCTCCGTGAGACCTCCCCAGAAGCTTCCCCAGAGGGCTCCGAGCAGGAACAAACATGGATTTTCATTGTTTTTTGCAAGTTTTTTGCCGTTCTCGCCTTGTCGGTTTCCACACGATCCACGACGGCCCAAGACGTTCCCAAGACGGCTCCAAGACGGCCGAAGAGGCCCCCAAGAGAGCCCCAAGACGGGCCCAAAGGGCCTCCAAGTCGGCCCAGCAGGCCCCCAGGTGGGCCCCAGACGCTCGAGATTGGCCCAAGATTGGCCCAAGCCGGCCCGAGAGGCCTCCAAGGTGCTCCATGAGACGTCCCCAGAACCTTCCCCAGAGGGCCCCGAGGCCCCGGCGCGCTTCCAACATGGCTTAAGAGCGCTCCGAGCCGCCCCCGGAGGCCCCCAAGAGGGCCCCAAGGGGGCCCGAAGACGGTCCAAGAGGGCCTCCGAGACGGGCCCCGAGCGCTCGAAGATGCCCAAGACAGCCGCCCGACGGCCCAAGAGGCCCCCCCAAATGCTCCAAGTGGGCTCCATAGAGAGCCCGTCCCAATCCCAAGGGAAAACGCACATTTCGGGAGTTCCCGTGCTTTTCGTCGTCGAAGCGTTCAAGACGGCCACACAGGCCCCCAAGACGCCTCAGGAGGCTGCCAGAGGGGCCCCAAGTCGGCTGAAGACTGCGCCAGGACGGTTCCTCAGGCACCCATGGCGGCCCCAAGAGAAGACCAGGACAGGGTGGGAGCGCTCCCGAGGGGGCCAGGAGGGCCCCAAGATTGCCCCGACAAGGCCCCAAGACGCATGTACTTGGGTGCCCGTCTCGCAAGCCCAAGAAGCATATCAAGTACATGCGTTTTGGGGCCCCCTTGGGGCCCCCTTGGGGCGCTCTTGCGGCCCTCTTGAGGCCTTCGGGCCCCTCCAAGACAGGGCCGGGCGCATTCTGCCACAGAAAGGCCTCTCGTGGCAGAATGGTGGGCCCGCGCTCAGACGGCCCGAAGATGGCCCAATAGGCGCCCAAGACGGCCCATGACGGCTTCCGCAGCTATTTTGGCTCAAGCCATTGTGGCTCAAGTAACACATCTGTCGAGGCAGCTGGCCAGGTCAGCGTAGGGGCCGCCTCACAGCCCGCCACACGAGGCGGGACCCCATTTTCGGCATCGAGTCACTCAGCATACTGTCGGCATTCCTGCCCCCTCTTCTCTCGCTTCTTCCTTGCCAGCATGGGTGCAGGACGCAAGCATCGCTCGCGCCATTCCGAGGATTCGAATGACGACCGCCGTGGAGGTAGACGAGGACGTGATGATCGATCCACATTGCGCAGCAGATCTTTGTCGACTGGTAGGGACACGCGCAGCTCGTCTGAACCCTCACTGACATGAACAGTAAGAAATTTGACCATCTCATTGGCAGCATGGAATATTTGTCACAAGTTGTAGCCAATCAAAGTCAATACGTTCTTGCTATTCGTAGCGCATGCAATACCAGCATCGAACGTTGCAGTCAAGTGGCTGATCAAATGACGCTAATGGGCCGCGGGTTCCTGGGCCGCGATTTCCAGTACAAACATGTTGAGTTGCAAAAATTTGTGGACACCTCTGTGCACGACCTAGACACGGGTATCTCGTCTTCAGCCAGAATTTAGTACAGGTGGCCACCAAACTCGTGAGGACGCTATGGATGTGGAAGCTGTTTCACAACTCGTCAGCCAAAAATTCTCGAGCATTGAAGACGCCATGGCCGACGTCAAGACTCGTCAGAGTATCTCCGAGAAACAGATTTATGATTTTAACTCCACCCCCCCGCCGCGTGGGACCAGCAGTGGGCAATCTACCAAGCCTCAGCAACGTGATCGATCACAATTCCAGGACCAGACGTGCAAGCTTGTGATCCTTGGTTTCAAGCGCCCCGTGCTCGCTAAGGACCCCTGCATCATTGGTGAGCAGGGGCGGCTTACCTTCGCCCCAGCTGCGGAGGCACATAGGATAGAGATGCGCGCATTCGACACGAGCAAGACGATCCCCCTGCGCTTCGAGACTCCGTCGGCAGCAGGATCGTTCATGGACAACTACGTCGCCAAGCAGAGCATCTGGGACTACCCTGACCCTTTGAACCCCTCGGTGAACCTATCCTTGAGGCGTCGCTCGCCGCGATATGAATCGCAATTGTCGCCAGCTCTTTTTGTCTCTCGGACGTGTGAGGAACAGGATCACCGACCTTGTCCGAGGTAAAGGACTAGCGGTTGTCTCCTCAGGGCTGGGCGGAAGTGCATACATTCTGCGCGGTC